TCTCTGCAAAGAGGATGGGATGTGAGAGGAGGCGTGTGTAACTCTGTACTAGCAAAAAACTGTATCTCTTTGGTGGGATTATTTTCACAAATGACATTATTGGCCCCTCCAGCTGCATTCTTACTTTAACAAATTATTTTCAATAGTGAAAGTCCCAACTACACCTCCCTTTGGAATCTCTTCCTCTTTCCAACAACAAATATGTTGGAATCCTTCTTCTATTTTCACATTTGGTTTAGTTACGCCATGTGTCAGAGGAGCAGCATGGCCCTGGTACCAGCCAGCCTATCTTGGCAAATGCTTGACCAAAATGCGCTGGCAATGCTCGAGGCAGAGCCCTCCCTGAGGAAGGAACAAGGGCATCAGTGAGAACACGCCCACCATGGACCTTGCTGAAATGAAGGGCAGCATTTCTTCTGGGTAGGCCTCAGTAGGGCCATGCAACTGATCATAATTTCTGCAAAAGTTGAGGGAGTTGTTGTGCTTAGCCAATTAAATATGTTGAAATAGGAAGAAATTGTAGATATGCTTGCGGGTGCTGAGAAAAGATGTGTCTTGAAWGAAATTCAGGTTTGGGGTTGGGTTTGGGGTTTTTTTGTTGGTTTGTTTTTCTTTTTTCAGAGGGTGAGCCCTGCTATTTTTAGAAATGATCATGAAACTTCTGGGTAGATATGTGAAAGTAACATTATGCATGCATTATGCATGGTTCTTAGTTTTTCAGGTGAATTGGAAGAAAATGGTGAGATGACACTTTAGCATTCCTTACAGGCAATTAATTTGGAAGCTGATGTGTCCATGTCATTCCGCACTAAATGCTTCTTCTGTGGTCTCAGTGACTACTCAAGTTGTCTCCTCTTTGCAATGGCAATATGATTTATCTGCCTTGGGGTACTTTATTTTGATTTTTAATGACTATTTTTGAATGACTTACCATACTTGTGGACACTCATTAGAGCAGAATTRTAATGGTGGAGRTCCTGCAGTCTGAGGAAACAAGAARTTCAGGAGCTGTCTTGTTTTCAGTAGTAGTGAGAATTGGCCATTATATTTTACAAATTGTCAAGAGAAATAAATAGATTTATGATATATGCAAAAGTATTGTGCTGCCTTTTTTTTTTCTTTTCAAATGGACTGGCATAAAAGCCAGTATATTTTTTGGTATACTGGCATTTCAATATCCATCCATTAAAGCAAAAGAATTAACTGCCACTGGTTCCATTGGGAAGAATTAATGAAGATTACAAGAAGCCTTTTTAATTAATGTGTTTTTAATGTTAGTCTGTAAAACAGACTTAAAACCAAGAGCTCTATGTATAGGGAGAAAAAATATCTTCTTTATGTCTTTGTTCTGAGAGGAACACAGTCTCAAATGAACAGCTTAGCAAGTGGTGCTGTGCGGCTCCTGGGTGCTGAGGCCTGAGTCCATATCCTCTTTCATGTCCCTAGGGATGAATCCTCTTCAGGACTGTCTGTTTTGTTTGCCTTGTAGATGTGACAGTACTTAAAATCAAATGACGCACCAAGTTGAAGACTTTATTCTGYGCAGGATTTTAGACCTTGGATCTTGCAATGAGATCACTGTGGGTCTTCAGAGCTTTTTGCAGTTGCATTCTGGAGTCCACTGTGGAGCCTTCTGCCTCTCAGCTSTCAGGGCTGGTGATTCTTTTGGAGCATGTGGACTCCTTCATAGGCCAGAGGAGTCCAGGCTCCCTCTGACTTTTATTACCATCCCTTTGCCTCACCCTAATAGGAATGTGGGCAGAATTTAGTCCCAAACAGTAAGAAATGCATATGAGCTCACGAGGAGCTTGTGAGTGCAGGGTGCTGGAATTACACCCTTCTCAGTGGAACACTTAGCAAATTCGTGTTTCTGAACTTTACATATACTTGTTGAGCTTAAAGTAGATGGTTTTACCTAGCAGCTTTTAGGAAAGGMGTCTGCCTGAAGAGTAGTTGTGAGATGTAAAGGTGAATATCCAAGTACCCACAGAAAGTATCTGCAGCATGGACTGATTCCCACTGTCAAGCATCACCCCCTAACGGCCCATCACCCAATGATCCTGGCAGCAGAGATGGTATTTTCCCATGACAGCTCTCAAGAGTTATTCTGTCTCCGAATCCAGTATTGTGCTTCACTCCCCCACCTTTGCATCTCCACTGATAAATTAAACACTGTTAATTACTATCACTTCTGAGGCCAACAGGCCTGAGACTGCCCCTAGCAAACTTTTTTACCTCCCAAAATGAGGTGGCGGGATCTAAAATGCTTGTTGCATGTTGTGGTCGATAATAAGCCAGGAGTTATTTGGGAAGGTGCTGTTTTGGACAGGTCAGAACTATTCGAGGAATAGTTAAATCACTGTAGATGGCTGAGTTGCCATGCTAAGAGCAGAGCTTGGTGCTGTTAAACATACCAGTGTGGGGGAAGGCTGTTTTAATTAGCAGAGCAAAAGGGTTTTTTCCCAATGGGGCAATGGGAAAAAAGGCTACCAAGACAAAATACCCTTATAAGATTGCTCCAGCTTAACCAGAGCATCAATGGCTCTCTTCTCTTCAGACTGATGTTTTGGGGTAGTCAGAACTCAGATTAGCACCCTRTTAGGAGGGTTCCTTCTTGGTTTGTCTAAATCTTGCATCTCCTTTTACCTAGCTGTGTTTGAAGGGTATCAGGATTCTGCTGTATTCAAATCAATTTCTTCATCTCATGCTCCACTTTCCTTAATATTACTTAGTTTAGAGGAATACAATTTATTAGCATTTTTGATTAGCCCTTGAAGTTTTAGCAAGTGAATGAGGTGTTGCTCTAGCTGCCTGATTGTGGGACACCTATTGATATCCTGATTCCCTTCTGGAGATACTACTTTCTTTTCCAGAGCATTAATTGAACTGCCATCTCCCTGAATTCTCCCTTTCCATACAGCCTTGTTTAACCTATGATCTGCATTGTTAAGACTACAGGTTTAGTATTATGAAAAATACCATTCAGACATTCAGTCTGGCAACCCTTGGTGCATTGCTGGGTTTCCATAGAGATGACACACAACAGATTAACGTATATAAGACTTGACTTGTYTTTCATCAGAAAACTCAGAAGCCTGAATCTCTTTTTTTTTGTGATAGGAACACTTCCTTAATGTATTACTTAATTTGGTGAAGTCCAGTATTTCTCTATTCAAAGGCAGTGCACAGTCTTGCTGAGGAATTTTATTTTCTTCTTCTTTTGTAATTATGTTTTCTGATACTAAAACCAAGTAAGCCTTTCACCTATCAGTGGGCTGATCTGGGATATTCAATGGCCTCCACTATGTTTTCATGCAAATAGTGAGAAATTCCTCATACTCTGTGTCATTCTCTTACCATCCATAAGGAATTAGGACGTCTAGGTATTGCCCCAAGTTGCCACRTATTTTTTTCACAGAGCTTCAATCTTCTCAAATATATTCCTCATATTCTGTAGGCGTTCTTAATCTTTTTGGTATGAAATAGTTACTTTATCAGTTTTAGCCTAGGTAGAGAAGCACAAAATATACAATTCAAATCTTTCAGTTCCCAAAATTATTTGGTGCAATCTTACCACTTAATAGCTCATCTTTCATGGAAAAAAAAATTAAGTACTTTACATTTGTATAAGACTATTCATTTGTTCAACCTTTATATACAGGTACTTTGTAGATCAGGGAAAAATGTTTCATTTGGTTCTTTCTGTACTGTGCATTGTTTGAGGTCTATTAACTGCCAGGTAATGGAGGAGAGTGAGTGAACTGGGAACGCTGAGACTCTAAAAACCTGGCTTGCTACAACTTGAGGCAGTACATTGTACCTGAAGTGGTAACATGGATCTGTATTGTGTAGAGTAGCAGAGGAGAATTTGTGGGTTCTTGCTCTTTTTCCCAACTTCTCAGTATACCTCTCCCCACTGACCAGCAGGACATTTCACCAAAAAAGTATTTACTCACAGTTTTACATCATGGAGTGAAATATAAAAGCACACTTTGTTGTCTGTTTGAACGATTAATCATAATCAGCAGCCAAGGCCTTTTTTCCAAGTTTAAGTCTTTGGTAGTGGCATCTTCTCCCACACAGAGCTAGCCTGTTGCCCTTTAGCAGAGTAAATCTTTGCATTGAGTATCTCTTGAAACACTCTTTCTGCTCTCGCTTCASTGCTTTCATGTTTTCCAAAGCTGTACACAGAAATAAAATTGCCTCTTTCCTCTAACTCTGTTCCTTTGAGTGAGAAAAGAATTCAGTGSATATGCCTGGGACTGGAGGTTAAGAAGCTGACTCCTGATCACAGCACATAAACTCCTATTYTTTGTTTTTGTTTGTGACCTACTTYAACTGTACTTGGTTGAAACTGTGTGCAAAATGATTCTACTTTGAAATTCTGAATTTATTAGGAATTGAAATTCTGGGTTTATTAGGAATGTGATTGGAAAAAGAAAATGGCCTTTCCCAGAATAAGAAATAACAGTGTTGTGCATTAACTAAAGACAAGCATTTTTTCAATGGTGTAAAATGCTTGAAAGCCTTTGYACTTGATAAAGTAATCTGTTGTAAAGCTGCATTGTATTATCTGTGAAGGAAAATTCCTGAAAATAATCTTTTAAAGTACTTAGCTGAGATTTAYAGATCTTGTAGAAGGATTTGCAACAATTCAGTGAAGCTGTTGCATTCTCATGAAGTCCAGTGGTATGTGAGTCTGTATGATAGGTGCTTTACAATGAGGAAAGCATAGCCACTGTACACCCCAAATCTGCAAATGACCATAATTGTTTGCATTAAAAATCATCCCAGCAAAATGTCTTATCCATTGTATGGGATATAGGTTCTGTATGCTCTGTCCCATTTGTCTGTTTCCATAACCTTTTTTTTTCTACCTGTGATGTTTTTCAGCAGACACATGATAAAATGTCTAGGCTAGATTCCAAGGGTGGAATAAAAAGCTGTGTTTATTTTTATGGAAGCACTAACAATTCTATTTGGATTGAATTTCTTCATAGCAAAACCRATGAATTATTGAACAGATTGGATGTGGGTTTGCCAAAGAGTGATTCCTGTCAGATTGCTAACCCTGGCCCAGAATCTACAGCATGGGTAAGCAAAACCATGTCGTGTGCTTTATTTTCTATCAGCTTTCCAGGTGCTGTCAATAGTGTAATGTTAGAATGTCCTAATTGAGCTTAATTGCTGAGACATAACTCAGTGAGTACCAAGGAGCCTTTCTGGGTGAATGAGGCCGCCTACCTTGTTTTTTACACACTGGCAGGGTATTCTGCATTAGTAGGAGACTGCTCACAGATCTCTTTCTGATAAATGAGAACCATATTAATATTCTAAGGTAAGAAAAGAATCTTATATATGCCCTGTACCCATCTACTGGTGGTAAGCTTTTATGAAATCTCAATTAGTTCATGTCAGCGGATGCTTTCCTGCGTTAAAAGTCTGGTCAAAAGAGAAGCTGCATCCTAAAAGTGATTCCATACACTGCTTGGGGTCTTTGTCCCAGTTTGAACGAGCCTGGTAAGTATCAATGTAATTAGGAAATAGATAAAGTATTGCTTCAATTTCATTATTCTAATTGACTCTAAGAGGCTTTTTCACATACAATTAGTCTCTTCATGCCTAAACCAAGATTTCCTACTAATATAAAAAATTTCAGTGAGGAATACTAACCCTGAAAAAGAAGTATTACTCCTGTAGGGATGTTGGTAATTGGGGGAGGACAGAGAAGAGGGAACCAAGTGGACCAAAATTAATGTTGCAAGCAATTCAGCAGAAGTTTGGAAGTTTGCCCTGATCTGGGCAGCCCTCTGTTGTATATGGCCTTGAGCAACAGCAGTTGGGTGACAGGAAGGAAAGATTTGCCTCCATATTTCTTCAGAGGCCTTAGAAATGGACAAAAATCCTTCTTTTATAGAAATTGCTGACAATTTGATATATGACACCTCTCTCTTGCCTTTAATATGTTCCTGGTTTTCATTGAATGAAAAGGGAAGATGATATTAAAAATAGGTTTCTTTCTCCTCTAATTCTTCAGGATATCTTGTGTCTCTGAAAATCCTAAAGACATTTGAGTAAATGTGGGCAGATATATAGCTAGAAGGTGCCAATTTCTGCCCAGCTCTGCTGGATAGAAGTCAGTTGCAGAAGAGTTGCTTTCAGGCTGTATTTTGCAGTCGTGGATGAACAACCAAGATGGAGGACTGTGGAAAGGGAAAAAAGATGTATTGAAACCACTTCTACCTCCCTCTTGAAGCATCCAATGCTGCAAACAGTGGGGAGTTTGTTCTTTGGCAGGGAAGGCCTTGCTCCGCAGCCTTCATATGGTGTGAGCATGGAAATGTGAAAACAAGTAAGCTGGTGTCCCCACAGCTGACTTGGATTTGGTATGCATCTTCATATCCTTGCGGAAGTGGTGGATGGCTGAAGGAACACTGAACTCTTTCAGTYGTACAGTTCTGACTTGCAGCCTTGGCCACCTGCTCCACCTACTTAAGTGGGGCTTTCTTATTCCATGTTTTGACAGGTTACTCAGTAGTTATGCCAAATCACATCCCAGAGCTCATATTCCACTYCACAGATAAAATACATCATTTATCTGAACCGTACATTAATACTGATACTATACCTGTCTTGCGTGGCTGCATTTCTATGGCTTTGTGAATCAAATAATAGTTTGTTTATAATGCAGTAATACAGTTAGCAAAGTCTACTCAACCAGCTTGGGCGAGATCCAGTCTACAGACAGAGTCTGTGTGCTCTGTGTGAGGAACCTGAAACACATAACCMGGGAGTTCTTATCTAAATAAACTTGGCATGGACCAAAATGCTAAACCAGTAGGAAAACTAGGACTCTAATTTGGATGTTACCTTGAATGTGTCCTTTGTCTGGAGTAATTAAAAGATTCAGGAGCAATGCATTTGAAACCGTGAAGTGGGATAAGCTTAGGATGTGCATGCTAAAAGGGGCATACACATACACATGTCACAATACATGTGATTTTTTAAATTTGAAATTCTTGTTCTGAAAACAGTTTGGGACAATGTGTTACAGATCAAGGTTTTTTCCCTCACATCGTTTCTTGGATAGTGATACTAATTTAGCACACCGAGATCAACTATCCTTGCCAAATGTTACTTCACGCCCATGAACAAATTTGACTTCTTTTGAGTGACTCTGTCATTRATGACTTTTTTGGCCTGCTTATTTAATCAAGCTCATAATTAATTTTAATCCTGTCTTTCAAAGTGTGACCAATCCTGTGTAGATTTTTATTGTCTTCCAACTTGATTAACATACTCTCCACACAATTCTCCAAGCCATTACAAAGAGTAATGAATAATATCGGACCCAGAATGAGTCTCTCTGGACACATGTAACAACTTCTCCCAGCTCAAAATTGAGCTATTAATAATTGCTTTCTCTATTCAGTCTTTTTAGCAAATTATGTGTCTGTTGTTTTAATGGTGTCATTCTGCATACATATATCAATTTTGGGGAATATTCGGTGGACCTGTAACAAATTCCTCACTAAAGTCAAACCTGCACAATTCTGGTATTAAATGATACTGGCTCGTTATTTAGTGTGCTACACTATGTGACTGCTCAAAGACTTTACGATAGAAGTTCTGGTGTAAAATAGCCTAAGGATGCTGTAAGACCCTAATTGAAGTTTGGCTTTTTGCCATACAACTTATGAAACATCAGGGTTAGTTATTGTAAGGAAAACCTATTGCACAATTATTGCATGATTCATAATGTGTAGTTCAGGTTTGAGGTTGTCTTGATATCCCACAAATAATAGCAGATTTGATCTTTCATCTCCTCTGTTGCATGACCTCCACAAATAATTCTGTATTCCCCTATGTTACAAGCCCTCCATTCTGCTTTTTTCTCTTGGTAATATTTTCATTACTTTTCTTTCTTCCCAGAATGCCTCATCTCATATATCTCACTATCATATATCCCAATATATTTCTGACTGCTTGGGATATCTTTATGGTTGTCACTGGAACACAGAATAGCACTTTCTGTGGCTATATGTGTGTGATGTGAAGGTGGACATTCAAGCAAACCAAATGACTGAGAGGTTTTAGGCCACTTCTTGTTTAAATTCTAGTCTTAAGATTGATCTGTTTCTTAAGGAACTGGAATCATTCAACMATTTCTGTTAATTACCCATATAACAATTTGAGAGTAAGGTCTGGGAAATTGGCCCCCCTCTCACCATACCAACAAATTTTTATTTTCTACTGAACAATAGAAAAGAAGCCATGCTTATAAGCAAGCTCTTCGAGAGGATGAAAACAGAAGATTAGAGGAAATGAAGCAAGAACAACAGAGAAAGGTAATTATACATTAACAGTTTGCATATTGTATCATTTTTGCATGCTGTGAAACCAATTAAATACATTGATTACTTGTAGCCTATGCACAGAGCTTCTCTTTAGCAAAGTGATTCAGTTGCTGTTTTCAAATATTGTAAGAGAGATGAGTCAAGCTGTAAAATTTGAATAGGGACAGGACAATTATCTTTTGCGYTCAAGGCTGTGTGCATCTGGAAARTGAGCTCCTTTTCACCTCTCCATTTGAATAATTGTGCTGAGGGGTTTTTTGACCATGGCAACTGATTTCACAGGCTAAAGGAAACCAGTTTACTCTCWTAAACGCAGAAGTAGTCTCACTAAGGTATTAAGGTTGATCTCTCCAAATTGCCTCTTCCTAGAACCTTGAGGACCATGAGCCCTGATTTTTCMAATGGGAGTGTGGAAATGGCCATATTTGTTGTTAATTAGAGTATGCCTTTCRGTGCCCTTGCTGACCACCTAACTAAAGAGTTCTGAATTGTCTAAAAAGCAGGCATGCCATGACTGTGACTTGAACTCCATATTCTGCATATGCATCCTGCACTGCCTGAAGTGTGCAGTTCATCTGTATAGGTTTGGGCACCGTGTCCATATCGAGTTCATYTACAAAGGTGATGGCACTGTGCTCAGTTACCTGTCTTGGCTCAAGGTCTGACTGAAAGTACAGGGAGGGCAGCACTTGAAAATTGTGTCAGCAAATCATTTGAAAACACATGAGCAAATACTGAGCCACTTGCTGTGACTCTGCTGTTACTAATATCCAAATTAATGTTAAGCTACTTCCCCAGCAGCAGAATTTAGTAGTGGGTTTCTTCTAGAGCTGGAGAAGTTACTCATCCCCTCGTGTGTCCTCATTTCACAGTATTCTAACAACTGTGGTACWGGAAACAAAAGGAGGGGCAAAAGGGATGTTCTTAATTACTGTCCCATCCCAGATCCTATAGAGAGTAAAAAGTTTTGAAAGCCAATCCTGATGGGTGCAAAGCTGTTACCTGTTGTAATCGGTATGTGGATCCTTCCAAAAAGAAAATAACTACACATATAAATTAGCACACCCCTAATTCATGAGCTTGGTTAAAGGGACTTGTGTAGAGCTGTAAACTCTTTAGCAATTTCCATGGGTTTCTAAGGAGGTGTTGCTGTTTCTAAGCCTATTCTTGTTTGCTGTGTGGTTACAAGGTCTCCTTGCCTTTGCAGTTACTGCTACCTATGGTGCAGAGTAATGCACTACTTACAAACCTACAGTAAATAATGTGTATTTTAAGGGCTCCAATAATTGTCCCTCAGATATATGTTGGCTCGTTTCAACTTCAGACTAATATTTATTAAAGTAATTGTGAATTCTGTCTTGTGTGTACCTCCTAGCACAGTGTAGCAATAAAACGTGTAGGTATTGTCAGTTCCCTTTTTTTCTTCAGAACAGGTTTTAGTATGTATTGCTTGATTTAGAAATTTTCAGTACACTTTGAGCACTGCATCATATACACACAATATATTTCAGAACATTACTCCGAGAGAGGAGTCGGCATATTGGAAAGTCAGATACTGAGTTTTAATTTTCAGGTTGAATAGTTATTTAAAATAGTGAAAATTGAGGTTGGCTTTTTTATTTCTTAATCCTGTTTCTTCTTTTAGAGCTAGACAAATATTGATACACAACACATTCTCAGTTATTGATTTTCTCCATACATTTATTGCATAGTTTTTACTTAATGTTCCACTTAAATTGATTTTTTAAAAAAAGTCTCGTGGCTCTATTCAGTTATTGAAGCTTTTATCTAACCACATCATTTTATTTTAGTCTCTATTCCTACCACTGTGCAGTTGCTATGGAAAATATGAAAGATGGGTCTGTTCCTATCCCTTCTCCCTTGTCCTGCAAGCAAAATTTCCTATGCAGTAAGATCTGCAACTTCAATTCTTGGGTGTGTTGCAGGCAGCAAGAGCTAGACAAACAAGCACACACACACAGACCAGAGTCATACAAACTCTGTTTCCTTCACAGTTCTGGTTCAAATTGCATGAGGAAACTCTCCTCTGAAAAGAATTCCCYTTTTGTCATGGTTTTGCTTGGTCCAATTTTTGGTGGTGGGGGATGGGGATCAAGAAACCACAAAGATGGCTGCTGTGAGAAGTCCTAGGGGTGTCTCCTTCTTCTTCTTCTCCAGCAAAGGGAGACCTGCCCCCCATCCTGTGTTTCAGAGCCAACCCATCATTGGTTCTGAGGTTGATGGACAGGCTGACCATCAGGCCTGGGCCAATTACACAGGATAGTTACACCTCTGTGATGACGTATTTTGTAGTATTTAAGAAGGAATCCAAAACAAGATAGHTGCGGCCGCCATGTTTAGGTTAATTGATAGCATGTAGTTTTAGTATCTTGCACTGGAAAAAAAACAGAGCAGGAGGGTGAGGAGATGTAAGAAGAAAAATGGAGACTCAAGATCACAGAACCGTAAGGAGAAGCTGTGCCCTTGCTGTGGTTCTCGGACAAGCTGGAGGAGATAAGTTGTTCTTGGAAAAAAGACTATTTCCATCATATTGAGAGAGACCTGTATAGAGAAGTAAAGCGACCTTGCTGTGAGGAAAACACCCTGGCCTTTTGAGGACCAGACTGTTTTTGATTATGAAGCCAAGAAATAGAGAAGAGGTTTGCTCCCCCCACGAAGTTTTGAATGTAGAAGAAGCTGTGTTTTGTGTTCTGCCAGGAGGTTTGTGATAATCGGACTCACGTCGCTGAAAAAAACAACATGGGCTTTGAAGGACATTTCATTTCTTTTCTCCTGTGAGGTAAAGAAGTTCCTTTCTGCTATTAGCAGTTTTTCACTGACTGTTTCTCGGAAAAGGACACATCCCACAGCTGGAGCTGTAAGAATGTTGTATCCTACAACGCTTGGACAACAGCTGAGTGTTTTGATCTGTGTTAGACTTTCATTCTCCTGCCCCCCTGTGTGTGAGGGACAACATGGGAGGGGTGAAGATGGGGGAACTTGGAAAAAGAGATGGGTCCCTGGGAAAGTGTAACAGGTGTCTTAAAATGTACATTTTATTTTTTCTTCTCTTTGTAAATATCCCTATCTTTGTTTTTTCACCCAGTGCCATTCTTAGTAGTGTGTAGTAATAAATCTATCTTGCAACTTAAGTTATGCAGCCTGTCTGACTCTTTTTGTGGAGTACATAGGTATCTTTCTTCCAATTATGTTTATCTCAAAGCCATAAATTTTCGTGTTAATTGGGTTTTTGCTCTCCCTTCTCCCTCTCCGGTGGAGGGGAAAGGAGGGAACGTCGTGGGCACAGTTCAAACCACGACACTTTTACACTGTTTAAATACCTTAATGTTGCATAAGGATGATGGTCTGCTGCAATGCTGGGAAACTGAATATGATTCCTCCACACCAACAAGTACCATTTGGCCTCCTCACCCTGGTGGGAGCCCCAGGGAGTTGGAGGTGACACACCACATCACATACCCCGGATCTCATCTTCTCCCTGTGCTTTATAGAGGCAGGAAGTGAAGGACATCTCCTTCTTACCCTATGGACATGACAGCTGTGTCTGCCCCTGGCTTTGGCTGTGGGCCCCCTAGGACCCGCAGAGAAATTCAAACCTGTGTGTTGGGACAAGGGGAAGCAGACTGGTGTCTGGCAAACCCTTTAAATGCAGGACTCTAAATGTCTGAATCCTATAAGTTCCCACATTTTAAGGCATAAACAAAAATTACCCACATACTGAATAGAAAAACCAGCTCAGTTTTTAACATTGTGCTGTCACATAAATAAAATGCTGCTGAGAGAAGTTCCGGCTCTAAGTGAGGTTAACATCATGTGGAATTAGTAGGGTTTGCAGCATAAGTAAGTTAATTAAAAGTAAGTTTGTTTGTTTATTTGTTTGTTTTTCACTTTTATCATTCCCAGGCTGAATTAATGGAATTAAAACAAARGGAGAAAGAGGAAGCCAGGACAAGAGCACATCAAAATGAACAGAGGAGGTATGATGCAAAAAATGCAGAATACACTCAAATTGAATTCCCACCTAGAAATGGTCTGAAAATTGCAAGCAGTCATGCTTTAGAAGACTCTTGCATGCAGTGAGGATCCCTGCATCATCTGTAGTTTAGCTTTGCTTTCAAATGAGCCACTAATATCCATCGTTACAACTGCTCACTGTAATGCAGTATGACACAGAAAGCCTTTTCCACTTTACTTATCCTATCAGCATAGGATACAGCATGGAGTAGAATCTATTAATAGTTATCCACTATTAATAGAATCTATTAATAGTGGATAACTACTAATACAGTAGCTTCAGCTGGGACACACTTTATCTGTGTATCTATATATGAATCTACATATCTATATATGTATGTATGTATCCATATATGTGTCTATTTAATTTTTATTTATTTTAGAATGGTCTGCTTTGTCCATGCCACATCTTGTGGTTAACTGTGTCAGAGGTTAACAGACAGAGCTAAACCTGGGATTTGGTATTGATTCAGATGGAACCTGCAGTGCAGCCAGGCCTTCTGCAGCTGCATTTCTTTGAACCCCAGGCTGTGCCCCACTGCAGTGACCTTTCTGTATTCAGTGGTTCTCATTTTACACTTTGTCATTTAACTGACTTTTCATTATCCTGAAACACAGCTTTATTTTTAGCTTTGTTTTCTGTTGGTAAAAGAAACAATGCTCAGGCTCAAAAGTAAAAACATATTTTCTTTTTTTTTCTATATCATTAGGGAAATATTAAAAAAAAATACTTCTGTGGGCAACTACTCTTCAGACTGCTTTCATTTATTTTTTTTTCTTTACCGAAGACATTCAAATAATTAGAAGTTAATGAAGGATTTTTGATTCAGTCCATCTCATATCCCTAGACAGAAATAACCCACTATTTTGCTTTGTATCTCATTCTTACCACTAGCATTGTAAAACATTAAAACAACAGTCATGTCTAAGGATGTATGTCAGTCCTAAGCAGTAATCGAGGGGGAAAAGAAACAGTTTTCCATGGAATCATAGAATCATAGAATGATTTGGGTTGGAAGGGACCTTAAAGATCCCCTTGTTCCAACTCCCCTTCCATGGGCAGGGACACCTTCCATTAGACCGGGTTGSTCWGAGRCTCATCCAGCCTGGCCTTGAACATTGCCRGGGATGGAGCATCAACAGCTTCTCTGGGCAACCTGTGCCAGTGCCTCAACACCCTCATAACAGAAGAACTTCTTCCTAATATCCAATCTAATTCTACCTGCTTTCAACGTAAAGCCATTCCCCCTTGCCCCTTACCACTGTATGCCCTTGTAAAAAGTCCCTCTCCAGCTCTCTTGTAGCSYSYTTKAGGTACTGAAAGGCTGCTGTAAGGTCACCCCAGAGCCTTCTCTTCTCCAGGCTGAATAATCCCAGTCTGAAAATATTTAAAAGAGATAGGGCAGAGCTGTGTCTGTATTTGCCCATGCTTTCCAGACTGATAGAGCAGTCCAAGAAAATGCTAAAATTTCAGGGCTGGATGGTAGAGAAAGTTGCCAGCTGCATAAATTGTCTCTTTATTAGTTACAAGTTTAAGTGGGKTTTTCCATTTTTATTAGGAAATCAGTACTTCTAGAAACTTTCCTTGTGCACTGAAGGCTGAAAGATTACCTAAGGTGAATTGTCAAAATAGGTAGACTCCCTAAAACGGTGGGTGGTGGTATGCAGGTCATCTTTCTATGGAGAGTTTTGGTGCATTTTGCACAATAACCAAGGTTTGCCTTTTAATCACAACAGGCTGATGACAGCAAAAGGATGCATCTGGTGAATTGAAAATTAAATCCACTAATCTCATGCTTGCCCATGGTTTGCAGCACAGGCTTGAAAAATATAAGAAGATGGGCACTGAATAGAGGGAAAGGGAAAGCYACTCACAGAATGTTAAATTTCAATAGTTTGTGAACTTCTCAGCTGCCTTCAGTCATTATTCATTTTTTTATTGTACTTTAAGGGTAAATAATGCATTCCTGGACCGCCTCCAGAACAAAACACAACCTAATAACATCAACCAACCTGAATATACTGGACTACCTCAATAATGGCACCTTGGTAAGTTTTTGGGTGCAGAATGTGGAAGCGGTGAGATTGTTTAAACGTTGAATTTTTCTGCAGACACTGTTGTGTGTCTGTGTGTGTTTAGCCTGCCTGACAGAACTTACAGCCCTGGCTGGCTGCCCTCAGTACCTTTCAAGAAGAAATCATGCCTTAAATATAAGCTGTTCARATAGGAGGAGGGAGGAACAGCTGCTCTGCAGCAGCACTCAGTGGCCTTGCAAGCAAGGTACTCACTKCAAGGAGCCACATCCAAGGTACTTCCTTAAGTTCAGAACAAGGTCTGAACTTGGTATTTTTTAAAATCACTAGGTATTTTTTGAAAAGTTTAAAATGAAAGATGCTTGGATATGCTGTAAATATTTTAATATGATATTGAAATCAGAGGGGGAAAGTCTCATATCTATCTCTTTATCTCTTTATCTATCTATCTATCTATCTATCTATCTATCTATCTATCTATCTATCTAAATATCTATATATCTATATATCTATATATATATATCTATATCTATATATATATATCTATATATATCGATATATCTATGTACCTTTCCCTGTCTAGCTGATAATTTTTTACCTATAAAAAATTATGACAAAAAGGCTCAACTACATCTGATTTAAAATCAGTATTTGTAAGGTCTCTTTGGAAAAAAATACCTTGACTGTAGTCTATTAAATATCCATTAATTTTTCCAACTGTCCCAATGAGACATTAATGTGACTGTTGTTTAGAATTGCACTCTTCAGTGTAAAATAAGTAAAATTTTGTGTATTCTCCATCATGAAATTTTCCATTAGGTTGAAATTCTGTTGGTGAAAGGACCATAGCATAAAAATGGAAGAGTTAGGAAGACTGAGAAGCAAAATAATGAGAGTCTAAGAGAATTTAGTGTATGTGACAGCGTAGAGAAACGTGTTTAGTTGGTAAAACATAAAAGTTGGTGAGGATGTGTATGTTGGCCAATGAATACCAGGAAGAATTTGCTTCAAGCATCTCCAAAGTCAAGTTAAAAAGCCTCTTGCTACTGAAATTTTCTATATACTGGAAGTGGAAAAGGGTGTCTTTATCATTACAAGCTTGGGGCAACCCCTGAGTTTAGGAACCTTGASCTGGTTCTTGGTCTTGGTGAGAGGAGACTGGACATGCCAGCTCAACGTCCCGTGAGATCTGTGAGCAGACATTAGAAGTTTTTCTGATCTCAAACACATATCACGCAGTCCAAAAGTTGCTGGAAGTCAAGCTACAGTTGTCCAGGCTGGTTAAAGTGTGTGAGTAAGGGAGCACAGTGTRTGGCTGGCCTGAGCCATGTCCTGAAGTATGGCACGTCTGCAGATAACAGAGATAGAGACTGCAGGTAGGACAGAGCCATCTTCACCTAGTGAAGGGCAAGAGGTAAACTCTATTGGATGGTGCCTGGTTAACAAAGGCAACAAGGGTACTTTGTTTCTTTTATCCCCATTTCTGTACTGTTTCCTGAAAAACTCCAAAGGAAATGTGTGACACAGCTGAGATCCCCAATATCTGACTCGAGCACCTCCATAAGAGCAGCTGCTGTCACCCCTGGAAACCTTGCCACTGACTGMAGARGTGGCAGGGGTTTGCCTTCAGCCACCAAAATGGTGCAGGTGCAGGTGCCCTCTTTCCCAGTGTGGTGTTGGTGCCACCAAATGAGTGCTCTCAGCCCAAGCACAGTTGTAAAAGCAGATGACTCTGGGATGTGTGCAGCTAATTCATGTGAGGGGTTTTTATATATATATGTATATATATATATATATATATATATATATATTCAAAGAGTGTATCAACACAAATGCAGTGAAAACCCATGTGTAGAAGTGATAAATCTCATACTCAGTTATTTACTTAATGACTCCCGAGGAGCCTGCCTTCTGTTGGGTGATTCTAGATCCATTTTTCCTTTATGTTATAATGTGAGATTTGAAGACTAAACAGAGCAGGAAAAGATTAAACTATAAAAGAACATGTCATAATGGATAGGAATTAAAAAATGAGTATTAGTAACAAGTACAAGAAAGAAAAATATACTCTCAAAAGAGAGGCTGGAGGCAGAAATTTCAGTGTCTTTGATTATACCAAGATTTTTCTCCTCTCCCTTGAGATTTAAACAAAAAGAACTGAACTCCAGGCAGGGCTTACAAGTCATGCAGTCTGCAGCCTGGCATTTTACATTACAAGGGAGCTAACTGAAACRGGTCAGACTATATACTAAGATTAAAAGAAGTTAAAAACGTTCCCAAAGTAAAGACCTGAAGGTAATTTTTGAGCCTGCTCCATCTGTGCGGTGGCACTGAAGAGGAATTATTTGTTCTCTTTCCCTCTTGTTGTTTTTCTCCTGTTTGAACCCTTCACAGTTACAACTGCTTCACACTTAACACAAACTGAACGTTGTGTCCTGTTGTTGATGTACCTACTCTGTTTTTCACTGTTAGTACTATTAGCCTGGTTTCCTGAAGAAATGAAGTTTGTACAATCACTCTGTCTGCCTGCATGTAATAAGGTTTTCCAGCTGCTGGCCAATCTCAGCCGAATTTGAAAGGGATTATAAGTCTCAGAGATAATTAGATTTGTGTGTTTTGTGAAAAGCAGKGACTAGCATAGGAGACAGCCTAAAACAGTGCCCACTCTGAGGGGTGGTGCATTCTCTGCATTGTTTGACTGCAGCCCTCTGGAAGATCAGTGTGTGCACAGCTCCAGAGCAGCTGCAGCTCTGCGCTGATTTCCTGGGGGCTGAGGGATTCGGAGAGGGACATGGATAGCACAGAAGACATGGAGAAAAGGAGAGGAGGCTGAATATACCGTGTGTGTCTGGGCAGAGGGCAGGAGAGCAGTTACCTTGTCCAATTGTCCCCTAAGCAATAGGAAATGAGTTTTCATTAATTCAAATGCCCTCCAGGCATTTTGTGTTTTATTAGGAATATTTATAAGCTGTTATATCAAGAAGGATCTTCATGAATGTAATTTTTTCTGCCTTTTTGATTATAAATGCCAGGGCACTCTCTGGGTGGTTATGTAGTTTCCCTCTTTAATGGGAAAACAACATAATGAAGTTCCACTTCTGTCTGTGAGCTACTGCACCCTTGAGAAAGCCCCAAGTCTTGCTGTATGTTATCAAGAAGATGTTAATGCCCTTTGCACTGCCTTTGTCTCTGATGTAAGGATAAACTTTTTAGGACAGGAGGGTAAGAAAATAACAGTTCTCCTTTCAATATCAACATTTARTAAATAAGATAATATAATGGAATCATAGAATGGATGGGTTGGAAGGGACCTTAAAGACCATCCCGTTCCAACCTCCCTGACATGGGYGGGGACAYCTTTCACTAGACCAGAGTGCTGAAAGCTCCATCCAGCCTGACCTGAAACACTGCCATGAATGGGGCATCCACAGCTTCTCTGGGCAACCTGTGCCAATGTCTCACCACCCTCACAGTAAAAAATTTCTTCCTAATTTAATCATTACTCAGCTGGGACTTGGAATTGAGGCAGTATTTATTCACTGTTATGGAACAAATGATCAGTTTTATTTAAATAGAAAAAGACTTCTGTTGTTACAAAAGAATAACTGTATAACAGTTGCACGTTTTTATATTCACTCCCTCATGAGATTTGCCCATTTCCAAGTATGTAGGGATTTGCAGAGCCCAAAAGCTGATGCATGGCAAACCTCTAACAGAGACCTTGTTGACTTTTTAATGAAAATGGGAAATGGTCAAGTACCCTTTTGTCTATTCTGTTAATGGGGAGAAGTCACATTGAGAGCATATGAAATTTAAAGGTCTGCTCTTCCTTAATTAAATACAAGTTGTCTTGCTGAAACTGTGAGCCACAGCAGACTCAGAACTTAGAAGGCAAGGCGACATATTACATCTTCCTGTTTCACATCTCCATTAGACCCAGCATGACGCATAAGAATGAGAAATGCTCCCTCGGATGCTGACTCTGCTCTTTCAGTGGATGCATAATTCTAAAAATTTGCTGTGGAAAGCAACTATGCCCTGCATACACAGGTGCAGTGGGACAGGAAACCCCATTCTCTTCCTTTCCCATGTGCAGAGCAGGAACTCAATAAGATGCTGGACAAATTTGTTTTGAGGAAACATGATTTATGGATAAAACTATTTTAAATAAACATGGTTTGTGGGTTTGCACTTTGTTTAGTTCTTGTAGCATGACCCATGGGAAAGTTTCTTTGGAGTCTCAACCAGCACTTGATTTATGCAATTTGTGACCAGTTGAAGTTTACTGTTGCACAGCAAAAAGAGCCACAGCTCTAAGGGTTCTAAAGTCACAAGGCCAGCATGCATGCCACAGGTTTCTGTAAACAATCAGTCTTTAATAAACTTTCAGACAGATCAAGTTGCACTGAAAATGCTGGTTTCCCAGCACAGAAAAAAAGGTTTTACTTAACATGGGAAAATTGAGAAAAGAATATTTGTGTAGAAGGTTCCAAAATGCAATCCACAATGGTTACGTTTGTTTTAATGAATAATGTGATTTGCTAACTTAGCTTTAACTTGGTTAGTCTGTGTAGAATCTGAGTTGACATGAAAATTAATTTGTTTCCTAAAACTGTTTCTTTTTTTGTTTGTTTTGTTTTGTTTTGTTTTGTTTTTCTTTTTTTAATTTTTATTGACAGTAACATGCTTGTCTTTCCTGGCAGAAAATATAGAAACTACATAGCAGAAGTATCAGTATCAATAAAGGGACTTCAGATGAGTAGGTCTGGGCAGGCTGTAGCTCAGTTTAATGATTTACCTCTGGCAAGGCTGTCAAACCTCATATGCAGATGTGTTTTGCCTGTCTTGATTTTGAGCTCAATCATGCTTTCCTTTGAAAATGTCATCCTAAAAGAGAATAGTGTCAATCTGGGCAGGAACAGAAGAAACTTCAGACTCTTTCAAATTGTGTGAGGTTAAGAAAGGATTGAAATATCTGAAGATACTTGAAACACTTCTAGATTTTTTTCCATCAAAAGCAGTGTATGCTTATCTCTTGAGTCAATACACCCTGCTATTCATATCGAGTTCAAATAAAAGATGTTTCTTGCTAGAACTGGAATATTGCAGAAGGGTTTGCTTGTTATTTTAAGTGGAGTTTCAAAAGGACTTCAAATAATCAAGAAAGCTGCACACAACTAGATAACCACAATTCCTTTCATAAGTGTGTGATTGTACTGTACATTGCGCATTGTACTGTATTAATGCATTTTTTTGCTTTTATCCAGGAATCAAACTACTTGGAATGAAAGAGGAAAAAGATAACAATAATGAATTTGTTCTTTTTAGTACCGATGTCAGTATTAATTTAGCTTCAAATTTGACATTTCATTATGACAACTAATATAGTTTAATTTTGAAACAATATGAGAAGGTATCTTAAAATAAATGCATTCCAACTCTGTGTGTTTGTGGCATTGACTTTCTTCATTATTTACTACTCAAACAGTTATTTTAATACTTTTGCAGCAGGGCTGTATTCTGAAGAAGTACCAAAATAATATTGTTGGCCTCCTATGAGTTGTCTTTTCAGTTTTATGTGGAGCAAAATTGTTATTAAAATTTTACTCAAATTCACTAAAGAAATGACAAGGTATAGATAAAGGCAAATCCCTGGAGGGGCAGAAATGGCTGTTTTTTTGCAGTCCATAGTTCTATTAGGTTTTATAAACTGTGGGCAGCTGAAGGAGTTCAATGCATTGGATTTTGTTGGTTTTCCCAATATCTACAATACCAGTAATATATTTACATATGAACTGTACAAGAAATAGGGATGGGTGTGCTTATTTTACTGCTGTTCTGAAAACACATTTCAGCCTGCTGCATGAATATATTGTTCAAAGAGTTATTAATATGTCTGCAGATAATTAAGACATTTTGTGAATTAAATTTACAAAAAGATAGAAATCCCTTTGTGAAGGCTTTACATAATTAAAAGCTAAAACCTGTTGGAAGAAAAGGAAGACTTTATTTTCCAGTGGACGTAATCCCCGAGAAGTTGACTTTGAATTTTGTTTTTCCTGTAAAAGATAATTTTTAATTCTGTTTTCTCTCTCTTGTTACAGGGTACTGCAGAAATATTTACTTTTATCGGCCGAGGCAAAATGACCTCATAAAAGCTTCAAGAAACTGCTTCTTTATTGTGATTCTTTTCTCACCCTGACTTCAGCGGCACACCCACTTCATGAGCAATCTGCAGAGACTGGTTTCTAGCTGTCATTATTCATGCACACATATTTCAAACAGCTGATTATAAAAGTCCTATTTAATTTTTAATAAGAATATGTGTCATTTTTTTTTTGTAAATCGTTTTGCCTCTTGCAGAATGTAATTATCCCAGTCTTCACTATCTCAGGAAAGGAAGACATGAGTGACTGCAGAAACTGCAGTAATATCTGTGTTTACTTGCTGCTCTGTACCCAGAAAAAAAAACATTTCAGAGACAATCTAAAGAAGCAGGTAGAGAGTTTTCTTTTGGGAAGTAAAGGAGAAATGTTGCTGGGGTTTTGTTTGTKTGTTTTGGTGGAAGTCTTGTGAAATTATTTTACTGTTGTACTCAACAGAAGACACTCAAGAAAAAAGAATGCGTATTGTAGACACTATCTTTTAAATCTGTTCTTAGAAAAATACAACATGAAAGAAATAAAGCTTGAAATAGCACTGAAATGTATTTGATCTCTCCACATCTTTTTGATATCATGTGCCGTCTTTTCTCTTTGGCTGTTTTACCATGGTAATTTCTGTTAMAGAAGTGGGGAACACCACTCCAAGGTTAGCTTTAGTTTCTTGCTTTTCTTTGTCCTCTGGTCCAGTGGAATTTAATTTGTGTTTCCCTGTCTCTGAGACAGATAACAACATTTTAATGCTTCCTAAAATGAGATACATGACCAAGATATTTCTAATGTGAAAGAAGGGCTCACAGTACATGTGGCATGAACAAATCAGAGAAGAAAAAGTACTGTGGCATTTACAAATATGTCTCAGGCCAAGTTAAAGGTTTCCTGGGCAATTTTATTCACTGTGTAGGCATACCATGACTTTTTCCACCACCCTTGCAATATGGAAACTTCATAAGGAGTCAGCTGAAGTTTTCTTTTGAACCATGGATATTGTGATGTTTGCTTTCCCCTGTAGGTCACTCTGGGGTTGCCTTTGGCTCAAAGAATTACTCAAATCTCTCATACTACTAGCTAGCTTATGTTAATAGGAAATGCTGGAGATTGTGCTAGTATTTTCTGGTTTAGTMTTTTTTTAGGTAAAAATTCCTGGGAAAAATTCTTGGGAAGACTTTTGCATACCTGCCTAGCGGCACTGTGTTGCAAGTAGTATTTGGTTGTGCCATTGGACTTTTGCTTTGGAAATTGAATTTACATCTCCCTCCAAGAAATTCCACACCAGGCCTCCTTTAGTAGATATTAGAGTTGGGGCTAAACATCTGCAGAGTGGGCGATATATGCATGCATCACATCTGTCTTAAATGAAATGTCTTTGCTGTAKTCAGACCCTGGTACTGTACCCTAACAGGGCTAACACTTAGTGGTGGTCTTTTTGAAGCAGTGAACCCAAAGGCTGAGTGGGAGGGGAAGACACCATTTGGGACTTGTCCCYATCAAGTTGAAATTCACTCGAACTCTTTTGCCATGTTTCTGTATCCAAAGAAAAAGAACTTTTTGTTAACCTGCTACTTTCACATTCAGGAACGTTGATGGAAGGTCACCTTGAGTAACCTCTTCCATTAAGCTTTTCTGCTTTCTTTTGCCTGTCTTCATAGATGAACGTTGATCAGTCTTCAAAGTACTTTTCCTTATCCAGCATTTCAATCTCTTACTTGAAGTGCTGTCTACAAACTATTTCAGACATTAACTATTCCAGCCCTKTTAATGGAGGAATATCTGAATTTTCCCTTGCCTATCTTTCTGGATGGAACAAACAAATCTATATGAACAGTGGCCCAGGAAGTGTCTTTGACAGCCATGTCCTGCAATGGAGATGATAAGAAGTTAYATCCACCCACAAATTGATGTTAGCAGGATATCTGGAAAATGCAGCTCTTATCGTATTGGAAAGCTTCCAGTATCTCAGAGCTACCACCTCCACCCACACATACCCTGCCCTAAATGTAAGTTTGAGAGCAAAGCGATGTTATGACATCTCTTTAAAGGCGTTACAATGAAATGAACTGGTGATAGACTGGGAAAATGGCTTCATGTTTGTCGAGAGTTAGGAAGTAATGGCTGGGCATGTTTTCCATCTATTTGTTAGAGAGAGCCTTTGATAAAGGTTTCAAACTCAAGTAATTCCTCTAGTTACAACTTACGCCAACTGAACTAATTATGCTGTGGCATAACCTAGATTTTATTACTGTATAACAGCAAATGGAGGGTTTGGGTTTTGTTTTGTGGTTTTGTTTTTGTTTGTTTTTTTTTAATTGTGGTTGTCTCGGTATGATTTGCACTGATGATCTCCTTGYTATTTCATAAAAAACCTTCCATCAGGGAGTTGTATGGGTCTAGAAGTTGCAAGAGGAAACCCCCTTGCTTTTTCATTGCTGAGTCAAATTCATTTTAACAAACTGACTGAACCATTATGATCAGCTATTCTGAGTTCCAATATAACTTGACAGCAAGAGTCCTATGTTTAGATTTTATGGTCTGCCTAAATCAGAAACTACCCTCCCATGGAGAAATGTAATATTTATTTAAGGACTTACAAGACTGATTTTCTTTTATTCCAGAAAGTTGTTCCAATGGTTTACCTATCCCTACTTTTAAAAATATCTGCCTGACTCTTAGTTTAAATTTACCAAGTTTCCTAAAACTGTTAATTAATTTTCTTAAGCATTTACTCAGCAAATTACAGACCTTTCTGCACCTAWGACTCTTATTTTTCTTAATGTGCATATTTGGACTGCTTCATTCAATTTACAGATTTTGTTCAGCTTTTATTCTTAAAAAATATCCCAGATTTACAGAAAGCCTTTGATGCGATAGGATTTGGTGTAACTGTATCTTCTTTTTGGTATGTGCCCTACTACTCAGACACTAAGGCAGAATATTATTAGCTACTCAAAAGGGAGTTAATCCATAGCTTACATTTTATGGTACTCATCCGTGTTCAGTTCATGCCTCTGCATCAAGAAATCCGAATCCCTATCTCCTGT